CCATGAGATAGAGAACCTATAAAGCTGGAGCTGTCACAAAAATAAAAATAAGAATAGCATCTAGAAAAGCTCTGCGCGGCAAGGATGATGGTCTTTAAGTAGTTTATGTCTAATCAAGAAGTGCGTATTTTGGGCTTAGAAGTTAGTATATTATGCTTATAGTATACTAAGTTTGTTTTCCAAGAAATCCGTCTCAAACCTAGCTGGCCGCCTTCCTGAAAACGTTGGCAAGCTCTCTCGTTCGCCGCAAGGTAGACTAATCATATAGCAGCAATCCTTACCCCTAACGCTTTGGCCATTTTCACATCATCTTTATAGCGATGGTAAGAGTCGGCCACCACGTCGTGTAAGTGTGGGTCAGCCGGGAAACCCTGTGAAGTGAGTTTGCCGGTGTGCAGTACGTGGTCGAGTGAACTCTCACGTTTCCCTGAAATTCGCAAGATAGCCCACGTTATAATAATGCCAGCACTTTGGTCATCCACACGGACGTTCGGCGGGCTGGCCTCTGGAGCAGTGTGAGGGCGCGGAAAGTACATCCGGGTAAGGCAAGCGGAGTGCATCTGCCAACGGCTTGTTCCGAAACAGTCTTCCTTAACTTACCATCCGCGTCCCAAGCACCCTCTGTCTGGATCGCCGATACGCCAGCTCCAATCAGAAAATGTTCAGGCAATGCAAACGGGTCTTCATCTTTGACGGCCAGGTGTGCAGCGCCGCTGAAGGCCACGGCAGTGGCAACAATGATTGCCAGGGTATGGAGTGCTTTGCCCATTCTGCAAAGTTGCAAGATATATGTCAGACAGTAAACTGGCTTGAACCTTACACCTCTACCGTCGTTTAATGTACCCCGGCGTGAGCGGTACCTGGCTAAGCGCAGCGTGCTTCTCAGTGACAAGATTCCGTTCGACAGTCTACTACTCTTATTATATAAGGATTGGCTCTGAAAGCCATCGAGATACCACTCGGTGAAAGGAGCGAAGACTTGAGATCATGATATGCAGATTGGGCTTTGTTGTGCTTGAATGCCTATCAGAAAAGTTTTATGCAACGCCACAAGGAAAAAACTTTATAAAATTTTTAAAACTTGGGCCGTCAGTGGTTTTTCTGGAAGCAAATTTTATACTTACCACCGGAAAGGTCCCCCCATCCGGTTTATGCTTGTTTGGACGAGTGCCTCCACTTTGTGTGCAGTTCAAATGTCATGTTTTTATGTGGGTTTTCTGTGGAAGTCGATTGGTGCCGATAGTGGAACCGCCGGCCTTTTTCCGATATGGCCTAATTTTTCTGCGAGTGCATACGAGGTGTTGCACCACAGTTGGAAACAGGTTGTTGAAGAGGGCCCACTAGGGAACATTTGATATGTGCGTGAGTCACATGCACCGTGAGCCGCCACCGCGGTAGTCGCCCACGCGTCACTCGGACTGGGGCTCGAGTGAGAAAGCGCTACCATTGCCAACAATTCTTGTTAACTGGAAAACGAACCCACGGTTAGGGAAATTTAGTTGTATTTCGTGTTGAGTTGTGCTGCGTGGAACTGCGTGTGATAAAAACCTACTGTTAAAATTTCAGGTCCCCAGCTCAATACGCTCTTGAGTTATCGTGCCTTGACAGACAGGCCACCGGGTGAACAGCTCGTGTATTCCCGGGGGTCTGGATTACGTTGTATTACCGTATATTACCTTGTATTACCCTGTAACACCATAAAGTACATACACAATATTACACAATATTGCAATGTATTACTTCATATTAATTGAACTCCATTGTATTACTTGTATTGCTCGTACCCGAGCTCGTACCTGTCATACCTAATAATACTGGGTGTCCATCTGCAAGAACGGCCTATGCCTCACATGTTACTGTGGTTTCCCCGACATTAAGAGTTGGGACCCGAAGCACAGCCCGGGCTTCCAGCAAGCTTCCGCGCCGAAGTCGCTACTTACATTATAGCCAATTTTCTACCATATTTCCGACCTTAGCAGTGCAGTGTGTATTTCCTTTCGTGGTTTTGCGTTCTCGTATTGTTTTTCGACCTATAATGTGAACATGAAGCTTTGTCAACAAACATAACCATAACCCAACGGTTCCTAAACTTTTCCGGCTCACGACCCTCGCGATACCACGGCAGGTCACGAGGGAGGAGGGGGTGGGGGTAAAAAAAATCGGTCACGCAGTATGGGTATTATCCCTTGTTCCTGATCGGTATCAAGACAGTCTTAATGATTAAGTTTCACTCTGCTAGATCGGATCCCAGTACTTCAACGAGACGGAAAGATGCTTACAAAGTCGAAAAAAAGTAACGCTCCCGTCGAGGGCCTGCGTCGTCTGCTGCCGCCCCTACCGCACCCTCCATCGTCCCCTCCCCACCCCCCCCCCCACGCGCCGATTGAGGGATAAGCGCGAGTGGCTGGCCGGGGTTTCCCTAGGAAAGAAGAAACCCGGCAACTCCGGGCGTACCTAACAAACCTTAAACCTAAAACGAATCGAATTCGAGTCGCTTTTAAGAAAAAAAAAACTTTGTGACAGTACAAATTTGTTTGTTTTTCAATAACACGTGTTGCTAAGAAAGTTGACGACACTCTAAATGGGGAGGGACAATTTTTGTACCTTAGTTAGATGTGTCTTTGAGCACATCTTCATCAGATACAAATTTGTCTGTACAGAGGTACAAAGTGTACCTAGGCTAGGTACAAATGCTATATTTTGTATGTGACTTGGATGCAAATTTGCATTTGGTTTAGATGTGCTCAAAGACACATCCAGCCTACGTACAAATATTGTCCCTCGCCATTTAGTGTGGACAGAAGAGTTGTAATCTGAGGACATGGATCAAGGCCTATTTCCAATGTTGGGGAAATTATCAGTAAAATGACGCGATCTCGATTTTATTTGAAATTGAAAATGACTCTCCTGTTTTAAAACAGAAAATGTCATTACGATAAACATCATTAATTGACAATCTTTTTAACAGCGTGCCCTGGCGAACTCTGACTTGATGCCTGATGAACCTCGGCGGCCCCATTATCGAAGCGGGCGAGACCCCCGCCACACCTGTGCGACCACTTGGCAACGTGCACGAGGTACTCCACACCTCAAGCAGCACTAGGCCAATGTAATCTACCGTTTTCTGCCGATTTATAGATTTGGAAAGGGCACACTTAAGGATCTTGCAAGATATTGCACGAGAATATTATAGGCGTAAATGAATATTATAGGTATTATATACTATTATAGGTATAGTAGCATCTGTCCACGGTTCAGCCGAGTTGTTCACCCCTCGAGACAGACAAACGCAAAACTTTCTTGATCACTGGAGCGATAGGCTTTTTTGCTTTCGCCATATTGCAATAACGCCACATAATCGAGGGGGCACCACTTTGATTTAAAATGTACACAGGATTACGTGATTACATGGATTTCACGTGAATTTTGAGGGATTATACTTGAGTTTTGTTGAATTTCTCGCTCTAAAACCACGAAATTTCGACAATAAGGTGAAATTAAGGAATAATGTTTTAAAATTTGGTCAAGTATTACTCGGAATGCAAAAGGATTACAGAGGGATTACAGAGGATTACACCCTCATCTGTACACAGGATTACGCGAGGGGGCCACCACCATAATACTTTGTCACACTTTATATCTCTCAAACATGTAGAGTTGCGTCTGCATGCCTGAGGACGGTGTTGCACATTTGGGGAATGTGTCGCGCACTGACTCGGCGGAGCGGGGCTGAGACGGACGCGGTCGCGTGACACAGCGCGGTGGATGAATCGGAGCGCCGAACAATCGACGCCCGCTGGGTAGGCAGCCCTTCTGCCTCTGCCCCTGCCTCTGCCAGCGCTCAGATGAAAACTACTGCATGTCTCTTGATCACTGTATCAGTAGTCTCAACTCGACTGCTCGCATTCCGACTAGTCGCTGAACGGGGTTCTTAAGTAAAAAGACTGTCGCCGCACTGACTTGACACACCGGACTAAATAATCTACACTTACTTGCAATAATTTCACTAAACTTGCAACACTGGCCAAGAACTCGGAGTCCTACCACACGGTGGACTGGGACCCACATCCACGAACATCTCGGACTCGCGTTGCAAGCGAGTTGAACGTGAATTTGACGCGAGTTTTCGCAAATTTTCGTGAGTTGGACGCGAGTTTTTGCGTTTCTTCGTGAGTTGGACGCGAGTTTAAACGCGAGTTAGGCGCGGTGAAAGTGTACAACGAGTTGGCGAGCGGGGGACACCTCGACCGGACCCCACCCGTATGCAGGTGCCACTGCTCAATTGGTGAGGACGACGCCCGGAGAATAGGCCACCTCTTCGACGCGCCCAGGGTAGGCCACAGTCTCCACACAGCCGCTCGGCGGGTTGGCCTACCTGGCTTGTTGCAGGCGCTAGCAGCAGCGTCGCGCGAACTTTGATTGTGCAGACGCCGTAAGCACGAACGGCCGTCACCGCCCAGGCCGAGCAGTTTTAAGAGGACATGCCGTCCTCGCCTCGGCTTGCCCCCGGCCCGGCTTATGCGCGGGGCTTACCCACGAGTGTTGCTCGGGTCACACGTGCACTGGAAAAAAAGGTGCTATACAATGTCATTTTGAAGGTATAAGTGAAATAGTGACTTTACGAAGGTGTTTCTCGCCTCAAAATAGGTGCTATTTTTGGCAAAGGCACTACTATCGCAGTAGCCAAGCACCTTTAAAAGGTTATCAGCCTCACCACGCTCGTGGCTCCTCGGCCAGCGCGCGACATTGACCGTGCGGCCAGTACCACGCCGTATAATAAATACGTGCCAATTCAGCGAACCACACAATGAGATAATGACGACTCGCGCCTCGAGCGGCCCTGCCGCTAAGAGCTACCGTAGTTTTACACCTTTTCGGTTCGGACCACGATGTCCGTAGGTCCCAGTCGTCCACCGTGTCGCAAGTTGAGTGAAATTGCAAGTAAGTGTTGATCATTTAGTCCCGGCGTGTCAAGTCTGTGCTGACAGTCTTTTTTATTTACGGGCCCCGTTCAGTGACTATTCGGAATGCGAGCAGTTGAGTGGAGACTACTAAAACAGAGATCAGTACTGCAGTAGTTTTTATCTGAGTGCTGCACCGAGTGGCACCGCATACAACCACGTCTATACCAGAGGCAGAAGGGCTGCCTACCAAGTAGGCGCCGCCATCAAGTATGTAGACGCAACTCCACATGTATGACAGATAAATCACAAGTGTGACAAACTAATATGTAGCATTATTGTCTGAGCGAAAGCAAATAAAGTAAACAGGTTTTCGCGTTTGTATGTCTCAAGGGGCGAACAACTCGGCTGCTCCGGGGACACAGATGAATATATTACTAAGTAGTACGAATTTTAGTGCGAAATTTTGAGGAATATAGGTAATGTCAATGTACTGAGGTGTGCCGAGGTGAAGGCTGCGGAAGGCGGTCAGTTGCCTCCCGCCGCTCGCTATCCGCGCCTGCACGCCACTGCATAGGCAACTCATCAAGCTACCGCGTGTCCTCCCGGACACCCGTGGTCTAATTAGATCTTACATGCACGAGCAATACAAGTATTAGGTAATAATAATACAAGGTAATAATTATTGTGTAATATTGTGCACGTACTACATGGTGTAACGGGTTAATACAAGTTAATTAACGGTACTACAACGTAATCCAGAACCCCGGGAATACACGAGCTGTCCACCCCTTAGTGTTTGTCTGCATGCACGAATGGTCTGTCTGTACTCTGAAAACTCAACAGTGTACATTGTATGCTGAAAAACAGCGATCATTATTGATTGCTAATATATCAGTGTACATTGCATGATTGCTGATTTATCAGCTAGCTGTTAGCATTTCCAGATTCCTCGTGAAAAAAGCTTTCAAACGAGCTACTATAAGATAGGGTTCAAATTCACCGCTATCATAACTTGGTTTACATTACCGGCATTTTCGAGAGGCGGACCATTTCGGTAGTGAACCCTATCACACAGTAGCTCGTTTGAAAGCTTTTTTCACGAGGAATCTGGAAATGCTATCCACTTTCCGATGAAATCCGTCTGAAAGGAAATATTAACCAAAAACCTAAACGTGATCATTGATGATTGCTGATACATCAGCAATCATGTTATGTACACTAATATATATCAGCAATCATTAATGATCGCTGATTTTTCAGCATACAATGTACACTGTTGAGTTTGCAGAGTAGGCTCGATAACCACGATAACCCAAGAACGGATTGAGCTGGGGACCTGACATTTTCAGAGTAGCTTTCTATCACACGCAGTTCCTCGCAGCTCAACTCAACACAATATAACATCACTGTGAAAAATAGAAGGATGTTTTCCAGGTAAATTTTCCTTAACACAATAAAGTTGTAAAATAACAATTTGTAATAGTTAAAATACATGCAGTACGTATCGACTTAAAATCCATTGGCGTGTAAAAATATGCTGCCGTAAATTTACAACTTAAATTATAATTCAAGTTTACAATATTTTTTGTAAAACAACTGCGTCAATTCAAATGCGTACATTGTATACTTTATATGTAGCATACATGGCAGGTATCCTTTAATGTATACATGCCCATGCACGCTTTTATAAATGTGTACACACCTATGCACACACCCAGGTAAACATAACGATTTACGCATTTATACATGGATGTGTACGCATTTATAAAAGCGTACATGTACAAGCGTACACATTTATTAAAGTACGCAATGCCATGTACGCTTTATTTAAAGTATACAATGCATGCATTTAAGTTCACACAGTATGTAGACATTTTTTTGACAGTGATACAAATACAAATAAATTTTGCTAAGCCTGGGTTTGTTTTACAGTTAACAAGAATTGTTGGCGTTTTTTTACTCGAGCCCTAGTCGGAGTGACGCGTGAGCGGCTACCGCGGCTACCGCGGCAGCGCGCACGGTGAATGTGAGTCACACTCAGATCAAATGTTTCCTAGTAAGCGCTCTTCAACGATTTGTTTCCTACGTGCTGCAGCACGTCATTTGCCCTCGAAAAGGGCGTAAGTCGGGAAAATTTAGGCCATCCCGAATAAAGGCCGGCGCTTTTGATTTGTTTCCAGCTGCAGAATCCTTGCTTGAGGGTCCTATCAGCACCGCTAATCGCCTCACGCAGACAACCCACAGAAAAACATTTGAGCTGCCCCTTAAGTGAAGGCACTCGTCCAAACACGAATGAACCGGATGGGGGGAACTTTCCGGCTTTCCGGCTTATTTTAAACGATGCTCGTCGGGTTCCCGGCGTCGCGGTGCGACCGGACAAAAACAAAATTGTCAAGTATCAAATTTGCCTGCAGAAAGGCCACTGAGGGGCCAAGTTCGAGAGCCTGTTTTTAAAAGTTTTTAAAAAGTTTCTTCCTTGTGGCGTGGCAGAAAATTTATCTGACAGGCATTCACACACAGTAAACCCCAATCTGAATATCATAATCTCAAGTCTTCGCCGCTTTCACCGAATGGTATCTCGATGGCTTTCAGAGCCGATCCATATATAATAAGAGTAGCAGACTTAGCTCTTCCTGTCGAACGGAATCTTGTCACTGGGAAGCACGCTACGCACGGCCAGGTATCGCTCACGCCGGGAGACACTGAGCGACGGTAGAGTTGTAAAGTTCAGGACAGTTCTAACATCTATTCTTGCAACTTTGCAGAATGGGCAAAGCACTCCATACCCTGGCAATCATTGTTGCCACTGCCGTGGCCTTCAGCGGCGCTGCACACCTGGCCGTCAAAGATGAAGACCCGTTTGCATTGCCTGGCGTATCGGCGATCCAGACAGAGGGTGCTTGGGACGCGGATGGTAAGTTAAGGAAGACTGTTTCGGAACAAGCCGTTGGCAGATGCACTCCGCTTGCCTTACCCGGATGTACTTTCCGCGCCCTCACACTGCTCCAGAGGCCAGCCCGCCGAACGTCCGTGTGGATGACCAAAGTGCTGGCATTATTATAACGTGGGCTATCTTGCGAATTTCAGGGAAACGTGAGAGTTCACTCGACCACGTACTGCACACCGGCAAACTCACTTCACAGGGTTTCCCGGCTGACCCACACTTACACGACGTGGTGGCCGACTCTTACCATCGCTATAAAGAAGATGTGAAGATGGCCAAAGCGTTAGGGGTAAGGATTGCTGCTATATGATTAGTCTACCTTGCGGCGAACGAGAGAGCTTGCCAACGTTTTCAGGAAGGCGGCCAGCTAGGTTTGAGACGGATTTCTTGGAAAACAAACTTAGTATACTATAAGCATAATATACTAACTTCTAAGCCCAAAATACGCACTTCTTGATTAGACATAAACTACTTAAAGACCATCATCCTTGCCGCGCAGAGCTTTTCTAGATGCTATTCTTATTTTTATTTTTGTGACAGCTCCAGCTTTATAGGTTCTCTATCTCATGGAGCCGCGTCTTTTTTGAAGGCACGCGAAATGAGAAAGGCATTCAATATTACCACGATCTCATCAAAGAAATTAAAGACAGTGGCATGAAGCCTTTGGTGAGTTCTATGGCTACGCCTTTAAAAACAGGTGACAGTTCTATGTGACATTAGCACAACAATCACATTTTTCCGTGGTTCTATTTTCAGATGACTTTGTACCACTTTGACCATCCACAGACGTATGAAGACGAGTTTAAGGGATGGCAAAGCGAGAAGATGGTCCCTAAATTCGTAGAGTACGCTACTTTTGTGTTCAACGAATACGGAAAAGAGGTCCTTGTTTTTCTTTGTGTGTGTGTTAATCATGATGAAATCTCAGCATTACTAACTGTTCGGTTTGTTCATATCTCTCTGAAATCAGGTGGATTTGTGGGTCACATTGAACGAACCTAACATGTACTGCACCTACTTTCCTTCCTTGTTTGTTACGGCCGGACTTTACAAGCAGGAGGATATTAATATTTACAACTGCATGAGGAACTTCGTCCTGGCGCACGCCCAATCGTACCGTGCATTTAAGGAAGCAGGCATGGCTGGTACGTCCTTTTCTCTCTTTGGACCTACTTCTCGTCTATCCGAACCCAAATTACGTCGCGGCCCTTCGAAGTTGAAAAAAAAAATCAATTTTGATATAAATTTTCTCTTTTGTCCCACTACCCCTACAACTCCCAACTAAATAAAATAGAAACAAAATGACGTAATTTGAGAGAGTTTGTAATGATATTGTGAAACACTCTGTCTTCTCAGGCCAAATTGGTTTGACTGTGCTTCTGATGCACGCTACTCCAAATTCAACGCGTCCCGAAGACGTTTACGCGGCCGAGCTGTTCAACCAGGTGCACGCCGGACAGGTGTTGGCCCCGATCGTGGTGGGAGACTACCCGCAGGTACAACTTTTGTAATTTTCTTACAGGGGGGATTATCTAGGTTCTATTTATTAGAAAGGGCGAACGTAGACGAGATTTGAGATGTGAGAAATCGTGTTATTGGACTATTGGGTAGAAATCTGATATTTGTTTATTCCTCGTCATGTAGGTCTTGAAGGATGAATTGAGCGACAAAATAACAGAATTTACTGTTGAAGAAAAGCAATTGATCAAAGGTATGGCACAAACAAAAGATACAAATCCATGTTAGTGCGTGTAGTAGCATCGAGTAGCATCTAACGAGTGTGTTTTTCCTCTCCTGTTTCTAAGGGAGTACCGATTTCGTTGGTTTTAACATTTACTTCAGTATGGTGGCCTCCTGGAAGGACCCCAATACTTGGGCTCCTTGCTTGATCGGGCCTATGATGGGAAAATTTGTGGAAGACTTGCCTATGGCCTCTATCAACGTTGCCGGAGGTATCGACGTAGAGAACCCCATGAAAACGTTCGATAGAGTAAGTAAATCTGTACCGGCCCGAACGTCCCCCCCATCTTTTTTATTTGACCCTTCGACCCGCGCCGGACTAGATTGGTATAATTTAAAGGTGGATCTCCAATGGAGCAATCTACGCTACCCATCACCCATCATCCGTCACCCATCACTTGCGATTTCGTGTTTTTACATCGCGAAATACAATCATAAGGTGTATAGTCATATTAATTGTTCACACACATCCTTAGTCTTAACCACAAGCCGAGTTGTACGCGTAAATACACGAAATATCAAGTGATGGGTGACGGATGATGGGTGATGGGTAGCGCAGATTGCTCCATTGGAGATCCACCTTAAATCCGAAATCCCAAATCAACACCTGTCTCCTTCGGTTTTTAGATTGCACCAGACTCGATAAGAGACGCCGTTCTGTGGGCATGGAACAGCTACAAAAAGCCTATTGTAATAACTGAAAACGGCGTTGGAGACAGTTCAAATATGGGGAAGAAGGATCAGCGTCGCTCGGTATACCATAGTGTAAGTATAAGTTGATTCACTTTGGGTAAGCACAAAAATAATCACTCAGTCGCGAGAAAGGACTTAGCCCGTGGCATGGCGGTTGTCTGGTAACTCTTTTCACTAGCATACTTGACTTACTTTTAACGGCCCCGTACACGATTGTTCAAATTTATGCCTTAGTCGCATTGAAGCGGTAACGTTTATTTCCGATGTGTTTCACTTTGATCGATATAACGACACAAAAGTGGGCCCGTTTCTGCTCACGGTATATATAATGGCATAATAATTTTGGTATCTACCTCTTTTCGGCACTAAGAACTTATCGTTATTGGTTTATTAGGCATACATGAGAACGCTATTGACGACGATGAAAGAATTTAAAGTGGATGTCATCGCATACTGCGCTTGGAGTCTTATCGACAGTTACGAGTGGAGCGCAGGCTTTGGGTAATTTGATGCGGTACAGAAATGTTTTAACATGTTTGAGTTGTAACAACATCGTAAACATTTTTTATGTATTCTAGACGGCCTTTCGGACTGGTTCACGTCGACTATGAGGGCAAGACACTGGACCGTTCACTGAAGGACTCATCTCAGGTAAGCGAATTGTCAATTTTCTCTTGGTGAGAAATTGGTCAGCGATTCGAAATAAATGCTTTGCAACGGTGCGAACTATTTTTTTGTATTGCAGAGAATTTGTTTGTATTGCAAAGAAATTGTTTGTATGGCAAAGAAATTCTTTCTAAGGCTAGACAGGTTCTTTCTTTCAATGAACAATCAGTTTGCATTATAAACTATTTTCTCGTAAACCTACGAAGAATTAGTTCGTAATACAACGCGTCAAAATCCTTAGTGAGCTACGAAGGTTTTGATTTTCGCTGCGAATAACTCCGACTGATAATGTTATCTGTTATCAGTAAGTTACAAGCAGAAATATACAATAAATTAACAAATTAGTCTGTAATTCATGCTGCATAAAAACGTGTTCACAGTTTTGGATTGAGATTGCCGAGAAGCGCGTGGTGCCACTCGTTGAAGAGCCTATAACTACGACACCTGGGCCACCTGCATCTCCCACGGCCTCCACGTCATTTGCATCTTCCACACCCTCCACGTCATCTGCATCTTCCACGCCTTCCACGTCATCTGCATCTTCCACACCCTCCACGTCATCTGCATCCTCTACGTCAACCTTCCTTTTGCTTCCGATTGGAGCTGTCTTAATAGCCCTTAAATCATTTCATTGCGATGTGCCATACTAAATTGATAAATTTTTGGAATAAAGAAAAAAAACAAAACAAAAAGATAGTCATTCTTACTGGGTGTCGGTTGAGTTTCACCGTCACGATGTTCTCTATTACCCTGTTCCCCTCCACTCCAATGCAGCCGCGGACCGCGGGCCTTGTACAATCGTCAATCGGATGCGGCAAGCGCAGCCGCGTGGACCGAAACTAGCTCCGCGTCTACTGTTATCAGTCTGGACGTCCAGCAAATCAGGAGACGTTGGGTAAGTCTGACCGGTGGCTCAAAAACGCACGCACAGTTTCGTCAACAAAGAACACTGTTAAAAATTTCTTGGGATTTCCCGAAGATTTACTTTCCACCACTATAATAAATTCCCAGAGGACTCCGTTCTTAGGTTTTGTGTACTAAAACAGATGTTGAGGGTAGAAGTTTTCATTCGTCTATATTTTTAAAGCTAAACTCGACACGTGAAATCTACAGAGTTCTTTGGGAAATCCCAAAGGACTTTGGCAATACTTTTCACGAGTGTTCCTCCGTGAAATCCCAGGATTTTTCCTAACAGTGAACCCAATTGTGTCTAAAAGTAAATCTTGTTATGGTTTCCGGGGGAGGCGTTAGTACCAAGGGGCGAGAACCAATAGCTATTATACAAGTTAAGAAAAGTCACCATATATTTTCCATTATACATGATGGTGGAGAGGTGATGCGGTCGCCCGGTCGGGCTGCACGTTTTGTGCATTATTTTAAGCGCCCTTTTAATTGATCATGGAGTCTTACTGATAGCTCGAGTAGGCGTGGGGGAAATCACTTGCGAAATAGTTCGTACACCTTCCCCCGAAATAGTCCGAAATAAAGGCGAAATACAGGCGAAATACAGGCGAAATAGAGCGAAATAAAGACGAAATAGACGCGAAATAGTCGGTGAAATAGTCGCAAAATACCCCTGAAATACTCCGAAATAGCGCGAAATAGCCTGAAATAAACTGAAATAGGCGGGAAATAGCCGAAATGGCAGGAGAAATAACCGAAATGGGAGGAGAAATACCGCGAAATAGTCCGTACGCTACGAACCCTAGTGAATTCCCCCTCGCGAGTAGGCAAACTAGTAATCAATTATCCTAGATAATTATCTAGGTGACCAGAGCCGCTAACAGAGGACAAGCATAACGTACCGTGTGTGAGTGGGGGGGCATCACTTGCGATTTCGTGTTTTTACATCGCGAAATACAATCATAAGGTGTATAGTCATATTAATTGTTCACACACATCCTTAGTCTTAACCACAAGCCGAGTTGTACGCGTAAATACACGAAATATCAAGTGATGGGTGACGGATGATGGGTGATGGGTAGCGCAGATTGCTCCATTGGAGATCCACCTTAAATCCGAAATCCCAAATCAACACCTGTCTCCTTCGGTTTTTAGATTGCACCAGACTCGATAAGAGACGCCGTTCTGTGGGCATGGAACAGCTACAAAAAGCCTATTGTAATAACTGAAAACGGCGTTGGAGACAGTTCAAATATGGGGAAGAAGGATCAGCGTCGCTCGGTATACCATAGTGTAAGTATAAGTTGATTCACTTTGGGTAAGCACAAAAATAATCACTCAGTCGCGAGAAAGGACTTAGCCCGTGGCATGGCGGTTGTCTGGTAACTCTTTTCACTAGCATACTTGACTTACTTTTAACGGCCCCGTACACGATTGTTCAAATTTATGCCTTAGTCGCATTGAAGCGGTAACGTTTATTTCCGATGTGTTTCACTTTGATCGATATAACGACACAAAAGTGGGCCCGTTTCTGCTCACGGTATATATAATGGCATAATAATTTTGGTATCTACCTCTTTTCGGCACTAAGAACTTATCGTTATTGGTTTATTAGGCATACATGAGAACGCTATTGACGACGATGAAAGAATTTAAAGTGGATGTCATCGCATACTGCGCTTGGAGTCTTATCGACAGTTACGAGTGGAGCGCAGGCTTTGGGTAATTTGATGCGGTACAGAAATGTTTTAACATGTTTGAGTTGTAACAACATCGTAAACATTTTTTATGTATTCTAGACGGCCTTTCGGACTGGTTCACGTCGACTATGAGGGCAAGACACTGGACCGTTCACTGAAGGACTCATCTCAGGTAAGCGAATTGTCAATTTTCTCTTGGTGAGAAATTGGTCAGCGATTCGAAATAAATGCTTTGCAACGGTGCGAACTATTTTTTTGTATTGCAGAGAATTTGTTTGTATTGCAAAGAAATTGTTTGTATGGCAAAGAAATTCTTTCTAAGGCTAGACAGGTTCTTTCTTTCAATGAACAATCAGTTTGCATTATAAACTATTTTCTCGTAAACCTACGAAGAATTAGTTCGTAATACAACGCGTCAAAATCCTTAGTGAGCTACGAAGGTTTTGATTTTCGCTGCGAATAACTCCGACTGATAATGTTATCTGTTATCAGTAAGTTACCAGCAGAAATATACAATAAATTAACAAATTAGTCTGTAATTCATGCTGCATAAAAACGTGTTCACAGTTTTGGATTGAGATTGCCGAGAAGCGCGTGGTGCCACTCGTTGAAGAGCCTATAACTACGACACCTGGGCCACCTGCATCTCCCACGGCCTCCACGTCATTTGCATCTTCCACACCCTCCACGTCATCTGCATCTTCCACGCCTTCCACGTCATCTGCATCTTCCACACCCTCCACGTCATCTGCATCCTCTACGTCAACCTTCCTTTTGCTTCCGATTGGAGCTGTCTTAATAGCCCTTAAATCATTTCATTGCGATGTGCCATACTAAATTGATAAATTTTTGGAATAAAGAAAAAAAACAAAACAAAAAGATAGTCATTCTTACTGGGTGTCGGTTGAGTTTCACCGTCACGATGTTCTCTATTACCCTGTTCCCCTCCACTCCAATGCAGCCGCGGACCGCGGGCCTTGTACAATCGTCAATCGGATGCGGCAAGCGCAGCCGCGTGGACCGAAACTAGCTCCGCGTCTACTGTTATCAGTCTGGACGTCCAGCAAATCAGGAGACGTTGGGTAAGTCTGACCGGTGGCTCAAAAACGCACGCACAGTTTCGTCAACAAAGAACACTGTTAAAAATTTCTTGGGATTTCCCGAAGATTTACTTTCCACCACTATAATAAATTCCCAGAGGACTCCGTTCTTAGGTTTTGTGTACTAAAACAGATGTTGAGGGTAGAAGTTTTCATTCGTCTATATTTTTAAAGCTAAACTCGACACGTGAAATCTACAGAGTTCTTTGGGAAATCCCAAAGGACTTTGGCAATACTTTTCACGAGTGTTCCTCCGTGAAATCCCAGGATTTTTCCTAACAGTGAACCCAATTGTGTCTAAAAGTAAATCTTGTTATGGTTTCCGGGGGAGGCGTTAGTACCAAGGGGCGAGAACCAATAGCTATTATACAAGTTAAGAAAAGTCACCATATATTTTCCATTATACATGATGGTGGAGAGGTGATGCGGTCGCCCGGTCGGGCTGCACGTTTTGTGCATTATTTTAAGCGCCCTTTTAATTGATCATGGAGTCTTACTGATAGCTCGAGTAGGCGTGGGGGAAATCACTTGCGAAATAGTTCGTACACCTTCCCCCGAAATAGTCCGAAATAAAGGCGAAATACAGGCGAAATACAGGCGAAATAGAGCGAAATAAAGACGAAATAGACGCGAAATAGTCGGTGAAATAGTCGCAAAATACCCCTGAAATACTCCGAAATAGCGCGAAATAGCCTGAAATAAACTGAAATAGGCGGGAAATAGCCGAAATGGCAGGAGAAATAACCGAAATGGGAGGAGAAATACCGCGAAATAGTCCGTACGCTACGAACCCTAGTGAATTCCCCCTCGCGAGTAGGCAAACTAGTAATCAATTATCCTAGATAATTATCTAGGTGACCAGAGCCGCTAACAGAGGACAAGCATAACGTACCGTGTGTGAGTGGGGGGGGGGGGGGGTACAACTCAGCATGGCCGTAGAGTGTCCGCCATGTCCGGCTTTGTCCGTTTGCCGTTGATGGACCGGACACTTGCACGAATAGGACAAACGCCAGCTTGGTTCTATTCGTACAAGTGTGCGGTTTCGGCAGCCAACTCCTGGTTGTGGGTATCGGATTCTCGATTCCAGCTATCGAATTTACCCAACCAAACAGAACTATGATTCCCACAACAAAGTCTTTTTTTCCCGTGTGTGTTAGGTAAGGGTGTGCCATGTGTGCACATAATCACCTAATGAGGCCCTGGGCGAATGCGATTGAATTGACCGGAGGACACCGATCACCGCGGCTGACCAGAGCGTTTTGTCGCATCCGCTGTGGTGTGTGTGTGTGTGTGTGTGTGTGTGTGTGTTAGAGAGAGAGAGAGAGAGAGAGAGAGAGAGAGAGAGAGAGAGAGAGAGAGAGAGACTTGAAAAATTGTATAGCGATTATGGTTTAAATTTCCTTTGACACGTTTGAGATCGGTGAAGGAGTGTGGGTGCAGTCAGCCATCCTCTTTCGGACTTGTTATTTGTTTTTACATTTTTTTTTAGAGAAACGGGGGAGGACCAAAAGAAAGGTATCCTACTTTGAAAAACGATGTAATGATCACTCCAGTAGGCCTCTGCTGGCCAAGGGCGATCGAGTTATTAGTGGCACGTGACGGCGTCCCAGAGAAGTGTGGCTTAATTAGTAAGGCAGCATTTTTATTTGCGGCTCTTCCCTCACTGCTTTTAGTTTCCGTTATTGCTTAAACCACCTTAGTCCGTGAAATTTTAATAAAAGCAAACAATCGTTTATTCTAGTAGTTCTAGTAGGCTGGTCAAAGTTACTAAAATGCCTGGCATTTTACCCCTCGGTCTAAACACCTCATCTCACCGTGTGTGTATGTCGTTTACAAGTATGCATTGTGAAACTATGTTATGGGTGTGCCCGAAAAGATTATTGCACAAATCTAGTTCTGCTTAAAGCAGTATCTTGCCTTTTCTCCTGAAAGTGAATACGCGAGTGAATATTTTGTAGCAGTGTTGCCAAACGTTGTCTGTCATGTTGATGTCGTTCGTGGACTTAAAAGCCCTGTCACAATAATTAAGAAGGCGCTCATACCCACATTCTCTCGCGTGACCCTGCTACCACTACTGTCTGGAAACCAGTGCTGATTGGTCAATGGTCACGGCCACAAAGCTCTATCCACTACCCCCTTTTTAAGTTCTTTTATTTATTTGTTGATTTTATAAGTTCAACGTGTGCTGCTGTGTCTATATCCGCTCATTCACACCTTCAGTCACTATCATGGTGGTTTAAAAATTTGCTGTGACCGAGCACGTCAGCATGCCATGCAGTGCAGAGCGATGAATTGTACTCTGTTCACAAACAGGTGTTCATTTTAACCTGCCCCCATATGGCTCCTGCTTTTATGCATAAAATTTCCATGGCAATTTTTGTTTGTGGAAATCCTCCTAGCTAGAAATGCATTGCCATTTTAATTCCGTAGACGTTGAATATCGTTGGTTCGACTTTAAATTTCAGGTTGGACAATTTGAAAAAAATTATGCTCCTCCCAGAAATTTAGTTTGTTTGCGTTTGCCTGTATATCTTACCATTTAGGAATCTTTCAGACAGTACGTCCGCGTTTTTCTCAGATTCAGTCGGCAAATTACGGATGTTTCGCGCCTGCGATACTGGGGGCAGGCCACCCCGCAGTACTCCCATGCATTGCATGCAAGATGTTGCCTACCCATCAGGCGCTATGAGAGCTTGCTGAGACTACTTGACAGGTGCAAAACGGAGAATTGTGGACGTACTTTCTGGATGATGCCTCAAGCGCAGGAGAAAGTTTGCTCTTACCAAAATGGCCCTAAATAAAAAAATATGTTTTATTTCTTTTGGGCGATTTATAGGCGTTTCCAAACAGTAACCCGTTTGGAACCAAAATGTTTCTTGGGTTTGCCCTATCTTTCACAATTTGGATGGTAAAGAGCAGGGGCTTTCTACGAAAGTAAGCTGAAAGTGGCAATATAGAACATAAGTCGTAGAAGGAGCCTTCCAATCAAAACGGACAAAAACCAAACTCACAAAAACCATAAACAAACTGTGCTCAACCGAAATCACTCCTCGGATGTCCAAAGGCTCCAGGAGATGGAGGTTGATTTGTTGGAATAATGAAAATTGGCAAATTAGCAGCAGGCTTTGAGTTGCCACCAAAGCGAAGGGGAGCTGGCAACTCCGTTTGGTGCAAAGTGCGGACCTGCTTGCTGGTAAGACGTCACATTCTGGGAGGCTCGATTTTAAAACAAAACGCCTCTAAGCACGCGAGTGAAAACACCTGCTTAAAAATTTCTCCAAGCCAAATAGAGCGGTTATCACACCCACCGCACTCACCTTGACATTTTTACAGCGATAAGTTTGGCGCGTGTGTGCGGCGCCCAAGAAGCTGTGCGGGAGTCAGTCTGCACGAGGATGGGCCGCTCGAGCATCGAGGACGGCGAGCCGCGGCTGCACGCCGGTGGGTATTCTAAACTAGAGAACACAACGGTCACAACTGACTCGAGATCGGCCCGATTCTGCACAAATTGGGGGCGTCCTCTTTTAGTGTTCTCGCGAGTTGGACGCGAGTTTTATCGTGAGTTGGCCGCGGGCGCGGGCAAGTGTACACCGAGTTGGATGGCGGGGTAGACGTCGGCTTTGTGTCACGATGCAGTGTACACCACGTTACCTTTACTCATAATCTCCCGTACAAAAGCATATTGTTTTAGTACACCCAGCGCCTCTTCATGCTGCCGTTGCGAACGCTCTCCACGGTGAAAAAAGCGAAAAAAAGTTACCAGAATTTCAAGACCCGGTCTGGGATGTCGATGGTGTTCACCATAGGATCTTTTTCTTTTACCGTGTCGTTCCAGCGCCGGGCCGCCAGCTGCGCCTGCCCGGATGGCTCACGCGGCGAGTCCCGCTGCTGGGCTGGCTGCCGACCTACACGTCCGGGGCCGCGGTGGCGGACCTCATCGCTGGCCTCACCCTGGGCCTCACCATGATGCCGCAGAGCATCGCGTACGCACAGCTTGCGGGCGTCAGCCCAGAGGTGCGCTGGACCACAAACACGTTTTGAGCCGTGGGGTATATTTTATGTATCCACGATCTTTAACCTCGTCGCGGGGGCTCCTTCGTTCGACACTGACTTACCAACCTAATGTACTGTTTACACCAAAAATCAAGTCTGTAAATGTCGCTAACTTGTAGGTGTATGATAATATCATTCGCGCAAATGGACGCAGTAGTGTGTGAATTTCAAAGGAAAGTGTGTGACATTCGCATACTTGGGTTTCCAGTGACACAGAGGGGAATGACCCCTGCACACCTTGTTTGTGACCTGACATGTCTCTCCCTCTCTCTAGTTCGGACTGTACTCGGCCTTTGCGGGGGGCTTCGTCTACATGTTCCTGGGCACCATCAAGCAGGTGGTGATCGGCCCGGCCTCCATCATGTCCATCATCACGCTGCAGTTCACCAGGGACAAGCCCATCCCGTTCGTCCACCTTCTTGCGTTTTTCACCGGAATAGGACAGCTGGCCATGGCTGTCCTGCGCCTAGGTGAGCGCCTATTTGCACTCATAAAAACTGTTTCTTGTCTCAAGAACATTTTTCCTTGATTGAATGCCGACCCAAGATCAAACTTTATTCTTGAAAGAAGCTGATATTACCTCGTAAAAGATGAAAATCTTGACAGTTAAATTGTTTAAAGAGTGAATTTGATCTTGGGTCAGCATGCACTTTGACTGTCTGTCACCGCCGATCTTTGCACACCACTGACCCACACGACTACCTAGGCTTCCTGGTGGACTTCATCTCGGCGCCGGTGGTGTCGGCCTTCACCTCAGCCACCGCCATCATCATCATGGTGGCACAGCTGCGGCCGCTGCTCGGCCTGTCCTTCCGGGCGCACGGCTGCGTCGAGACGCTGGTGCTGGTCGCGCGCCACGCCAGCGAGGTGCGCGTCGGCGACCTCGTCATGGGCCTCACCTCCATGGCCTTCCTCTGGTCATTCAAGGTGTGGAGTAGAACTCACTCTCAGACCTAGTACAGATGTGTTTGTTAGTTGCAACGCTGGTATTATCTACAGCAGGTATCACTGACCAATTGATGACAATTTCTCCGTGTACTCTGGAAACTGATATGTGTGAACATGTATGCAGTACCTCTTCAATACCTACAAATGTATTCAGGAGGTAGTGTGTACATGTAGCCAAACCTGTCCATAACTTCAGTCTGGAAAGATCTGGCCAGGTCTACCAGATCTGGTTTGAAATCTGAGTCACATAGCGCGATATTGTCTGACTGTGTGTGTCTCAGGCCTTGGCGTTTGTACCCGCGGACCCCAAGAGGCCGCTCGGGAAGGGACTTTGGTTCCTGTCCATCTGCAAGAACGGCCTGTGCCTCACATTTGCGACTGTGGCCGCAGGCCTGCTGCACCACAGGCTAGACGGCGGTGTGCCATTCGCCGTCGTGGGTGAGTCTCTTATCTGCCTCTTTTGTGTGTAGTGTCTTACAATGTCTCCCTCTCTATCAGTCTCACATCGTCTCACACTTACACCCCACACGCCAACCTTAGGGTAGTAGGGATCCCACCCACTTACGATACCGAACAACAGGAACTACTTGGCTAACTACCAGGTGTAAAGTGCGAGACAAAACAGAGACGATGAGTGACATTCTGGCCGTCACTCACGGAATGAGTCCATGAGTCTGTCGAGGGGTCGTGTGTGTCACGCACCTGCAGTTGTTCCGTTGTTACTCACCGCCAGGTAACATGCCGCCGGGGCTGCCCGCCATCACGTTGCCGCCCTTCCAGGGCTTGGAGGTCGGGAACCAGACGGTCAGCTTCCTCGACATGACGAGCGAGCTGGGCGTGGGACTCGTCGTCACCCCAGTGGTGGCGGTGCTCATCAACATCGCCATCGGCAAGGCTTACGGTACGACACGACAACGCGACCAAAACTGGCGCTTCGCAAATCATTTTTCCCGTCGGCTTCGATCGCGCGCCTTTCTTTTTTTTTTTTTTTGGTTTCTAACAAGGCTACTCACTCTCGGTGGTGCCGTCTCTGGTCCCCTTTGATCCCCACAGCGGGGGCGGCGATGGGCGGCGGCGGCCTGGACGCCTCGCAGGAGCTGCTGGCGCTGTCCGCCTGCAACGTGCTGTGCGCGCTGGTGCAGGGCATGCCCGTGTCCGGCGCGCTGACGCGCTCGGCGGTGGCCGAGGCCTCCGGGGTGCGCACGCCGCTGGCGGGCCTGTACTGCAGCGCGCTCATCGTGGCCGCGCTCGCCTGGCTCACGCCCTCGTTCTACTTCATCCCGCGGCCCACGCTCGCCGCCGTGCTCATCGTGGCCGTGGGCAGCCTCATCGACGTCCGCATAGTGCCGCGGCTCTGGCGAGTCAACAGTGAGTCTCAAACTTTTGGTGGTAGTTAGTTTAAATTTTTCTACGCTCCACCCAAACAACAGTGCCTGCCCACGGAGGTCTTCAGAGGCGAGGGCCGAGGGGTTTAAATTTACCCCAGAAGGTATTACCAATACGGGGATACATTTATTGTGGGTTCCTATAAACGCTTCTATACGTCACCCCAAGTTCGAGCCCTTGAAAGCCCCGGGCTGCCCTCAGCAGCAGCAGCAGCAGCAGCAGCAGCAGCAGCAGCAGCAGCAGCAGCAGAACTCTTGTTGTGTCGTGTGTTGGCGTGTCTCAGACGACTCTCTTTGTGCAGAGCGCGACTTCGTGGTGCTGGTCGTCACCTTCTTCACGTGCCTGTGGCTGGGCGTGGAGGTGGGGCTGGTGGTGGGCATGGCGATGGACGCCACCCGGCTCCTGCAGCCCTGGGCGCGACCCTCGCTGTCCGAGGTGGTAAAAAAGGTGGGTGCTGTGTCCCTCCACCTGACCGGGCCCGGGCCCTGTCTGAGGGGCTCTTCACTATAAATTCAAACGTACACCAATGTTTCTGTTTTTCTTGATTTTCTCATATTCTTTCCTATTTTTTTTATTGATATTCTAAATTGATATTTAATTGATTTTCCCTTGATTTCTTTTTTACATCTTTGGGGAATGTAAACTATTTTTTTCTGGAGTGTAGTACTCCTTGGCCCTGGCCTGCTCTCTGCCCGGAGCTGAACTCCGCTCTCTGCCCAGAGTCCCGACGGCCCCGAGTACGTGCTGGTGCGCCCGTCCCTCGGCATGCTGTACCCCGGGGTGGACACGCTGCATGACCAGGCGACGCGCGCCGCCGACAACCTGGGCCGAGGGGAGCTCGCCGTCGTGGTGGACTGCAGCACCGTCGTCAGCGTGGACTACTCTGCGGCCGTGGTGAGACGCGGGGACAGACGAAGCAGAGACGAAGCTGAGAACACTCTCAAGTGAGGCAACGGCTGATGATACGTGTCGTCGCACAGGCACTGGCGTCCTTCGCAAACGAACTTGGCGAGCGAGGACAGCGCCTGATCCTACTGGACGCGAATCCCAGCGCCCGCAGCACCCTCTTGGGCGCGGGGCTGGACCAGGACGCGTTCTGCGAGGAAGTCGGTCTGCAGGAGGTGCTCCGAGGTGAGTCTGAAATTGGCACTGGAAAAGAAAAGAATGCGCTTCGTCAAGAGTCGAACATATGGAATAGGAATCTTCGGGATGTAGGAAAGGAGCTCGTTTTCCAAACTTTTACTTTATTCGTATAAAAATACGCAAAAAAAAAACCCGTTAGAAACCAAAGTGAAAGGGGCAAGGTATTGGTCCCGGGAGAGGACCAGATGTATGGTCAGGCAAGGGCAGGCCACTCTGCACCTCAGCACACTATGATGAGGATAGTGGCCTGCCAGGGGCAGACCAAGGGATTGTCCCCAGCCGCCAAGGTGATAGAGGGTATCGCAAAGGACGTTTTTCATCGTTGCGAATGTGACTTAAGCGATGCATCAGGTAACGAAAAGTATCAGTTGAAGCCGTTGAAGCAACGAATATTTTTTTCCTACGTGGGTAATAATTGAATAGAGGGGCTCGTCCTGGTAATTTAGTTCACAAAGACTTTCATGCTTTTTTTTCACTCTCTTCCAAGGCAACGATGCGGATGGCGATATTCTAATACCCGCACCGACTCGACTACTGCCCGGGACCGAAGACGGTATGAAACCGTCGAATGAAGAAATGGACGTTGCGAATAAAACCTGAACATCAGTATTTTTGCAGTTTGGCAATGAATCAGAACCGACAGCTGACTTTGCGAGAAGCCGGCTGTTAGACAATTCCTCTCTTAAGTATTGTTGTTACAAACGTAAGAAGGCATATATACCGATCAACCAAGTGTGCAACTGTTTAGCACTTCTAAGTTTTTAACTGCAAGTTGGATACTTGCAAGTGTTCAACTGCGTAGTAGTACACTTGCAAGTGTTCAACTTGGTAGTTCAGCGCTTCTAAGCAGACTGTGCATACTTTCACCATCGCGTTAAGCACTTGCAATTATGCAACTTGTAGTTGCCCACCTACTAGTGTTCAGCTGTTGCACACTTGGTTCATCAGTGTGCGTTATTTTAAGGATATAATTGCGTCGACTCAACTTCTATCCTTTAGAGACGTTTTTAATAAAGCCACAAAATCTAAATTTTACCTGCTTCCGGTCCTTGCGAGCGATCTGTGACGTCAGGGTATCTGTAATGCCCGCGCTTGTCGTTATCTCACACGTGTAAGAAGAACTCGAGCTTTGCACCCACTCCCACGCTGTGGTGATCATCAGTATCGTTATACGAATAAACGCATTCTTCCAAAACATTGTGACTGTTGGGCAGAGATTTTTATAGTGTACTCAGTTTTACTCACGAAATCGAGGGCCCCTGTGTCTAAAGGGCTGCAAGCACCTCTCCCTTCACGCACGATTATTTGCGTAGAACGAACCTTGGAAAGAGCTGAGGTTTAGCTCTTGGGCGGTGTCGAGGAAACTCCACAAGTCCCCAACGAAACATATCCATCTGTCTTGCTGTTTCAATCTTAAATATAATGTGATGGCGCCTGTGAGGTATGATGAAAACTCGTGCCTCATCTCAGCCCTCAAAACCCCAACCTGTAAAACTTGTTTTGTTAGTGTGATCTAGAAACCTTGCGCGAGTCCTATTCGCATATATTAGTAATTTCCTCTGAAGCACAACTTCGTCAACTATCTCAAGTCGAGGCGCACCCTAGCCTTCTCAAGGCGACGGCCTCCGCTGCTCCGCGGACGACAACATGCTCCCCTCATGGAGGAGGGATGAGGTCTCGTTGCAGCAGCTGCAGGTTTTGCCCGGCGTGGTTCGCGCGACGCACACCACGCATCAGTGCGCCGAGCGTTTGTTTCGTTTTGAAACGCACGTTCGCACGCAGGACGGCCGCTGCTGCGGGCCGCGCCTCATGAAAAGCTAACGACCAAGCGTACCACGCGAGCATTACGACTTGATGGCGTGGGTGCACAGCGTGCCGCACAGCGTGCGCAGCGGCAAGCCGCGCGTGCACGCGGCTGACCGGGAGGGCGTGCAGGGGCGTGGCGGAGCGTGCATGTGGCGGAGTCGCCCGGGACCCATCATAGCCCTGAGCTGGGCCTGTTTCACCACAGAAGCAGCCGCGCAGCTGGTGGACACTTCGCGGATCCTCACGGCACTTCAGGGAGTAGACTATGTGTAGGGAGGGGAGGGAGGCGCGACGAGCATTTTAATAAGATGCCTGTCGCCTTTCCTTTCTCTCTGTCCTACGCACAATTTTACTTCCGCAACACGAAACACACGAGACAATTGCACGAAACTAGCAACCCTCATTTTACCCCGATCGAAACCTTCATTTGTACACTGAACAAAAACCACACTACTTTGATGTTCAAGTTCCTCGATTCCACGTGTCAGGCAGAGATTGACAGATTTCGGTTCGGTCGATGAAGTCATCTCTCTTCCCTGCGAGTGTTTGTATATCATTTCGGGCCCGATCGATTCCCGCTCGTTCTACGTCGCTCAGTCGTTATGCACCTTTATGCGTCCTTCCGGTTCTGAAATGGCGGCTGGAGACGCCGGAGACACCTGCCTTTGTCAGACATCCTCGCCGTCGTCTACACATTTATGCAGTGCTCGAAGAAGAAAGATCGTGACGATGAGAAATCGCTTATATCAAAGGTTCAAAGTGGGTAGGTGAACAGCACCGGAAAAACAAAGGTGCTGTATAACACCTTTTAATGGTGCTACTGCACTAATGCCTCTGCAAAAGGCACTAAAATTGCAGAAAAATAGCACCTTGGAGGGCCAGTAGCGCCTTTGAAGAGGCCCCACTATTTCACCAACGCCACTTAAAAGGCATTAGGTAGCACCTTTGTTTTTCCGATTAGGGTATAAGAGGGGGGGGGGGGGTAGTTGTTATCGATACCAAACTGTGCCTCGCGCGTACATATTCACTTCCTCCGCGTTTATATTTTTGTGTCGCGCGTATGCCCTTCGTCAGAGACGAGGTCAGAGACATAATGACCTTTATATGACAGTCGACAGCGCGCTTTCGGCTGTCAATTATTCCCCGGCGCTGTGCCGCCTACCTCCACCTTCTGTCACCTTCTGTCACCGTCTGTCACCTTCTGTCACCCGGTGTGAGCCGGCGTTGGGGTGGTCAGTGGCAAGCGCGCAGAAACCAGCACGGAGATAGGAGTGCGCAGCCGCTGCTGACGCCAGCTGCTGACGGGGCGTGGAATGGTACTCTTGAGCCAATGACCGCCGATTTAGAAACGTGTATTCATGGCGTGTGGCCAAACTGAAGATTTTTTTTCATATATATTATCAAAGAGTGGCTTATGTAGTAGGCTAACCCGGAACGAGTCGTAGCCCTGGCACGACACAGGGTACTTCTTGTTGTAAGTATTGGACTGTCAAACAATGTTTGCACGTCTAAAAGTTTGTAGCACCGAGTCGGCTAGGACGGAGAATTTGCATACTGATGTTGTTAACCGAGATGCTAAACTCTTAAATTAAGGGCACTACAAGCGCGCTGTTCAAGAGACGTAGAGCAAAAGCTGTGATAAGGAATAAACTCGTTCTTTAACTTGAATTTTCGCTTAAATAGTGGTTGGAAAATCCAAAATGTCCGTCCGTCATCTGCTGTTACGAAAATGTAAACATGTTCAGATGGGAGGTCTCAGAGCGCCTGATAGGTAGGCAACATCTTGCCAGTTGTGCATGCGCGTATTGCGGGGTGGCCCACCCTGAGTCTCGCAGGCGTCGTGCTCTCATACTTTGCCGAATGAATATTGAATGCCAAGGCACTGTGTCTGCATCCTACCCTTCTGCTTACGAAAGATGTTCTAACTTATCAATACCAAAGATTGCCGTACATGTACAAACTCTCACTCTTGCTTGCCATCCGATTCCAACTCGGTGCGCAGTGTGCTTGTAAATTTACGATTGCAAATAGTAATTGTACGTCTTCTATGGGATTTTTCCTGTGCCTGGTACGTCAATTTTTCACAGCCAAACGGACGAAAGTTTGCCTCGGAGAATTCTACTTTGATGAGTGGCAAATTGGATGATCATAAGGATTAAAACATCATTTTTACGCCATTTTGGTGAAAGAATCTCTTTCTGCCGACAGACAGACAGACCTACCGACAGACACACAGACAGACAGATTACAGGTCCTTTTCATTTGCCCGCTTGTAATCTTCCTCAATAAGCAGAGGGGCAGGTTAAAAAGCTCAAAAGCACAGTCTGCACTGATGAAGTAGTGTCCACGCCTGATTGGTCAGTCTCTGGTGGTGTGCAGTTTCCTAATCCATGGGCCAGGAACATTTACGATGAAGTTTTTTGTGCACGACATATAATGCATAAATAAAGATGACCAGATATTGCCTGTACTTCATCCGTGTGACACCCTACTGACCTCACCTCTTACGTTTCAATTTCCTTACTTTCGTCTCGACTTAGGAGGAGCAACTATTTGTTCACTGTAAAAAGCTTACGGTGAATTTCACTGTAAGCTACGATGACCCCCTGCAGCACCGTAGCTTACGGTGATATTCACCGTAGGCTAGGCTAGGCTGCTGCAGGGGGTCACCGTAGCTTACAGTGAAATTCACCGTAAGCTTTTTACAGAGTTGCAAGTTGCAACTTGAAAGTGGTAAGTTCCTCGATTCGTCGTGTTGGACGAAACACCGGTAATTGATTTGTCAGAGTGATGGTTGTCGAGCCTTAGTAATGTTCTTTTTCTGGCCCCACTCCAGATGATTGATCACGCGGTGGTGAGGGGGAAAGGGCGTGGTAACGCAGACCAAATGCCACAGACACACAACCGACACAATACGGACACACCAAACCACAAGCAGAGAGGCTTACAAGGAGACTTAGGTGGGTGTAAATCCCCGATTAGGTTCAAACTTGGTATATTTGCTTCTTATTCCTGTAGAAGATTATTGTGCGTCAAATTTTGTGCGGAAGTTCATATGTCAAAACTCCCTATAGGGGCCTATAGTTCCTAAAAAATATGAGAATTTCATGTTGAAAAAATAAAAAATAAAGTCAAATTCCGACTCAGAATGTGCGGTAGGGGGGGGGG